AGATCTTCTGGCATTTCTTTTAGTGTAAGTCTGCTGGCTACAAATTTTCTCAGTGTTCTTTTGTCTGAACATGTCTTTCTGCATTCTGCTTTTGTTTTGTTTTAAAGATTTATTTATTTTAGAAAGAGAGAGAGTGAGAGCGTGAGCAGGGGGCGAGGAGCAGAGGGAGAGGGAGAGGAAGAGAGAATCTCAAGCAGACCCCCAGCTGAGCGTGGAGCCTGATGAGGGGCTTGATCCCATGATCCTGAGAGCATGACCTGAGCCAAAACCAAGAGTCAGAAGCTTAACCGATGGAGTCACTCGGTGCCCCTGTACTCTCTTTTTGAGGGATAGTCTTGCTGGGTACAAAATTTGGGGTTGATAGTTTTTTTGCTTGTTTGTTTCAGTATTTTGGAGATGGGATTCCATTACCTTCTGGCCTCCATTCCTCCTTTTCTTCCTCTCCTATTCTTTCTCCCCTTTCTTTAATAATAATGTAGCCATCATTTGTATTGTTTCCCTGTTTGTGAGGTCTTTTATTCTCTGGCTGTTTTCAAATTTTCTCTTTGCTGTTGGTCTTCAATGGTTTGACCATGAAGTATCTAGGTGAGGTATTCTTTGTGTTTATCTTGCTTGTAGTTCACTCAGATTCTTGGATCTATAAGCTGAAATTTCACATCAAGTGTGGGAAATTTTCAACTACTATTTCTGAGGAGTCCAGCTTCCGGTTAAAAACCTATGTGGGATTTTTTCAGGCCTGGCCATAGGCAACTGCAGAGGCTTTCCCTGGCAGGCCTCATGGTGGGAAGCTGCCCTCCCCACACCAGGCTTGGTGCACGGTCAGTGCATTGCAGTGTGGAGGGAATTGTAGTTAAGGACTTGGGCCCCACTGGAGGGTCATGCTCATCCCATATTTGCATTCTGAGCCTCAGAACCTTTATTCCTAGATCTTTATCTGAGGCCTTGGGCAGAGGTCTTTTTTAGGTGCCTCTGCTGAAGTCTCCCTATAGGAGGAAAGAGGGAGAAAACCTGAAGACACTTTCCCCTCCTGACTCAGTGCCCAGTACTTTTCCACTTAGGGTCCTCTCCTCCCTTCCTCTGACCCCAAGGTCCATAAAACTGCTGGAGTCTTTTGTTGGGGCTCTTTCAACAGTGAGAAAATCCCCATGTCTGATCTGATTCACCTGACCCATGACTGGTATGCCATTTCATGAGGAAAATAAAACAAAGGAGAGTCAGTGTTTTCTCCAATTTTAGCCTCTTGCTCATACTATCATGATAAGTAATTAAAGGCTTAACTCTTTCATTTTTGGCTTGTTGCTTTAATCTGTTACTTGGACATCTGACAGCTCAGGTCTCTTTCTCTCCCAGCTCCTGACATTTCCTTAAATAATTTTGCTGTCCCATTATCACCTTCTTCTCCTTATGAAACTCTAGTTACTCATGTTAGGCTGTTTAATATTGTCCTTATGTCTTTGGAGCCTGGTTCATTTATATTCCATCTCTTTTTACTTTTCTTCAGATTGCATGATTTCTATTGATTTATCTTCAAGTTCATCAAAGTTTCTCTTACCACTTTCAATTTGCTCAGCTCCTGTGCAGTGAATTTTTCATTCAGCTATTGTACTTTTCAGTTCTTGAATTTTCATTTTTAAATGCTTTTCATTTCCTCTGATGAGATTCTATATCTTTTCACTCATTAAAATCATGTTTTCTTTCCTTTTCTTTAAATTTAAATTTATATATTTATTTTTTTGTTTCAGGAGTAGAATTTAGGGATTCGTTGCTTACATATAGCACCCAGTGCTTAACACAACAAGTGCTCACCTTAATACCCATCACCCATTTAGTTCATCCCCCACCCCCCACCCCTCCAGCAGCACTTAGTTTGTTCTCTATAGTTAAGAGTCTCTTATGGTTTGCCTCCCTCTCTCTCTTTTTTTTTTCCCCTTCCCTTATGTTCATCTGTTTTGTTTCTTAAATTCCACATATGAGTGAAATCATGGTATTTGTCTTTCTTTGACTGACCTATTTCACTTAGCATAATACACTCTAGGTCCATCCACATTGTTAAAAATGGCAATATTTCATTCTGTTTAATGGCTGAGTAATACTCCATTGTATATATATATATATAACCACCATGTTTTCTTTTAATAATTCTGCATATCATCCTTTAATTCTTTGAATATATTTATGATAGCTTCATTGTCTCATAAATTACATATACAGAACACCTCTAGGTTGGTTTCTACTACCTGCTTTTTTTGGATTATGTATTGCATTTTACTTTGTGTGTATATGTGTGAGCATGTCTAGTAATTTTGATTGTATACTGGATATTGTGGGTGAATCAGTGTGGAGATTGAATTTTGTGATATTTCTCTGTTGATTTTTGTTTTCATAGGTAGTGGGATTACTGGTAGATCACCTTGAACTTGTGTAAGCCTTGGTTTTATGTTTTCTTAGGGAGTATTTATGAAAATTCCAATGTTTTTTCAAAGCATAGCTTTAACTTGTGGGATTCAATCTCATAATTTTCATCAGGCAATCTTATCAAAGCTTGATTTTAGACTTGGGTAGGGTAGGTCTATTGTAAACTTTACTCTGGGGCATGATTCTTACTGCTGAAGAGTGGTATTTCTGGTGTCTCACCCGGTTGCCTGGGAACAGGTGTTTTAAAGGTCTCTCCATTCTTGCTGACAACATCCCCCAACATTGCTTAACCTCAGGTATTTTTGTTCTGCCCTCAACCCCAGAATAGACAAATTCTGGTACAGTTTGTCTGAACTCTCCCTCCACATGTATAAGTTCAGTCCTTGCCTAAGCACTTGCAGAGATCCCCACATGGGATTCTTCCCTCTGCATAGATCCTTCAACATTTGTGTCCCACCTCACAGAATCCACTCTAGTTGCCCCACACTCTGATCTCTGCCTACTGAGCTCCGCAGGACTCCTGTGCTCTGCTTGGTCTTCAACTGTCACCCAGTTGGGAAATTGCTTCCTGGTGTAGAGCTGGGGGCTCAACTTGTGAATTTCGCTTCTGTTTTGTGATTTTGTATGTAATTTGTGAAAACAATTCCATCGTATGTTTTGCTTTTAAGGTGTTTTGGCAGGAGGACTAGTCTAGTATTAGTTACGGGAGACTGCAATTCCCACCATGGGTTCTTGAACAAGGTATAATGAGAGGGTGTTGATGGACAATGATAAAAGTGGTTTGTAGAGCAGACAACTGGGGAGTCAAGATGCTGAGTAGGAGGCATTTCCGTCTTCTAAGCTGAAAACTAAGGTCAGGATGAGGTTTGAGGAAATACAAACAAAAGGGAAATACCATGCTAGAGAAAGAACTAGTGTTGGGTTAGTGATAAGTTGGATGTGAAGAATGAAGAAGAAGGTTTAAAATGGTGCCAGAAATGTTTTAGAAAGGAGTTCTATCTCTGGATGTAAATACTGAAATATTTATGAATGAAATGATAACATGTCTGGGATTGATTCAAAATAATAAAATTCAGGGATGAAAGTGGGGAAAGGGTGGGGATAGAGGTGAGACGAGAGTGACCATAGATGACAATTGTTGAAGATAGGTTATGAGTCCTTGAGAATGTATTATATGCATTTTTCTACTTTTGTGTCTATCTGACATCTTAAATTAAGAAATCAAACAAAATAAAACAAAAATGAGGGGTTATAAACCTGGGAGGTGGAGTGTAGGTGAAGTTGGGGAGACTGCCGATTTTCGAGGTAGGGGAAGAGGGGATCAGGCAGTGGCAGTTCGTTAAGTCTAAAATAGGCTTTTATGCAAAAATTGTTTTAAAAATGATTTGCCCCAGCTGACTCATTCTGCTCCCTTAGAAGTGGCATCAAGTGCAAGGTGTATTTGATTAGCTGCTTGAAGATGTGGGTCATACGGCACCTGCTGACCAGAGGCTGTAGCATCAAGGCCACTCACTGACCCGGCTCTGGATTCAGTGTTTGTGGCTCCCATTAGCTGAGAAAGCTCTGCATGGCCCGGGCCCAGACTACAATGCACAGGTTTGGTCAGACTCTGGCCCACATCTCCCTGAGTGGTTCCTGGAATAATTTCTGGAGGCATTTTGCTGTACTACCCCTTTCTGTACCGCCTTCTTGGTCAGCTGTACATGCCTGGAGCCTCCCCGAATCTTGCTTGCTCTCACCTGCTTCTTTCCAACTAACTGTGGACTCCGTAATTGAGCCCAAGAGAGGGGACTGTTCCCATAGCCTGAGGAGTTTCAAAAGTAGAGAGACTTTTCTACAAGTTAAGATAAAGAAGAAGGAGAAGAGGGGCACCTGGGTGGCTCAGTCATTAAGCGTCTGCCTTCGGCTCAGGTCATGATCCCAGGGTCCTGGGATCGAGCCCTGCATCAGGCTCCCCGCTCGGCGGGAAACCTGCTTCTCCCTCTCCCACTCCCCCTACTTGTGTTCCCTCTCTCGCTGTGTCTCTCTTTGTCAAATAAATAAAATCTTTAAAAAAAAAAAAAAAGAAGAAGGAGAAGAAGAAGAAGAAGTGGAGGAAGAAGAGGAAGGAGGGGGAGGAGGAGGAAACCATTTTCATCTCTTACATACCACTTTCTTTTCTCATTCATTCAACAACCCTTTTAGGTGCTGCTGTGTGCCAAGTTTTATGTTAAGGAGTGGTTGAGGTTCAAAGGTAATCAAGACACAGGTCCTTCCTCAAGGATCCACAGCCTGGCGGTGAACGAAAGACATGCACACAGAGTGATAGAGTCACAGGCACCATGCGAGATGTCTGTGCGGGCCCCGGTGGGACACAAGGAAGGAGTGGGCGGCCATTATTATTTTGCTCTTTCCTGGGGTCTGGGTTTTAATACTGTCCTTGCGACCTATGCATAAACTAGATTCTCTCTGAATCTCCATTTTTTCATTTTAAAATAAGGCTAACTATACCTGCTTACAGATTTTGGGAGTGTCAAAAAAAAGTCTAAAAGGACATTTGCAAGCCATTGGGGTTGATGATGATGATGATCTTTCCTTCTTCCCAGGCACACCAGTGAGAACTCTGGGCCCAGCTTCTCCCAGGTGACAGTCAAGTGACCGTTGTCGCCTGCACACTCAGCCATATGAACATAAGCTGGGGGCTGCAACCATTTCCAGGGAAGATCTGCAAGTAAGAGGAAACCTCTTTTGCCATGTAGGTAATAAATCTTCTGCCTATTGACTTTTAAAAGTGTGGAGGCAAATGTCCCATTTGTCTGTTTAATACCAACCACCCCCTTAACATTTGTTTTGCTGTACGGTTTACAAAGTACTTTAGAAAGTCACAAATCACTGGTGTCTCATCATAACCTTTTGACTTGGTAGAAGAGATTTCATTTTAACCCTCATTTACAGAGGTGGAAAATAGGGCCCAGTGATGTTAAATGTGGGGCCCAGGATCCCTAGCTGTAGCAGAAGCCACAACTGAATTCTGGTCTTCTCTTTCCTAATCTTTGAGATCAGCCGCTCCTCTTTGTAAGCATCTAGAGCACTCAGGGCTCCCCTTTGACGTCTTTAGGAGAAGGTTGCAAACTCTTTTTTAAAATGTGTAAGAAATTATTTGTATTTGGACGTGTGGTGGGCATCGGGAGCTCCCCCCCCCCCCCCCCCCCCCGCCCCGGGCCCTGCTGCAGTCACAATCAAACAAACAAATAAGCATCTCCATTGTTTTGTGGATTATTTCCCCATGAGGCAGATGTTTACTTTTCACAAATGAAAGCTCATTGTTGTCAGGAACATTTAAGAGGCTTAACCTGTCTCCTCTGGCATATGGCGCTGGCTTTTCATGATAAAACTGGCTGTGTGCAGCGGCAGACGAAATTGCAAGCCTCCCCCTGAAACTTCATCAGTCGCTGTTGCGGCGTCACTGCTTTCCTATGCGGGGACTTGTCTGGGCCTCTTCCACTGTGAAAGGGAAAAAAAAAAAAAGAAAGCCTGTTTCCTTTGGTAGAAAATACTCATATTTTAATGGATGTGATGTCATGAATTATTAAACTAGCTTAACTTTAAAGCCAAGCCCAAAGAACGCCTAGTGAAGAATGACCTTGAGACTCTTGAAAAATGGGAGTGTTGAATGGGCCCGCAGACTCGAAGATGGATTTCTACTCTAGTTTATATTTATGCAACTGTGAAACTTGGTCCCTTGTTCCCAGAGAAATCCTTTGTGCAGCCGTGTGGAGAAAGTTATTACATTTTAGTGCAGAAGAGCTGTAAAGTTTCTTTCCTCACGTCTCATGAAAACAGGAGTGCTAGCGATCTTTGTGCTGAGGGATGGCCCTGAGGAATGAGATGCAGAGTCTCAGAAGACAAAAGGAAGCAGACAGGCATTGTTCTTAAAGAAAAAAAATAAAGAGCCCAACATTAGGTTCTTCTAAGGGGTTTGTGCATAGCCCGGGTCCTGCCACAGGGCTCTGTTATTTCTGATTCAAGGTGAATCAAAGGAAAATAGGGTGCAGAAGGACAAAGATGATCCACCAGCCAGCGTTGCCTGACCACATGATATGCGCCCATAGTAACTTGTGTGGAGGTCCAGGGAGAGCTCCGGAGGGGGTGTGATTTGGGGAAGGATCTTTCAAAGCATTGGGTTTAGCTACCCCAGGCTCATTCTTTGGCCGCAGGTTGCTGGGCAGAACCACAGACACTAAGAACTGGGTGAGTGTCCTCAGTTCCTCCAGTGGGCGCTGGGAAGTTGCCTCTGCATCCATAGAGACTTGAGAGTCAGGTTCCCTCTTTGTTTTTTGTGACACAAGTTCAATGAGCAGTCTTTGGAGACAGGAGATGAGAATGAATGGGGAGGGTGAAGAAACCAGTAGTCTTGGAGAGTGTTAAATGCTTGCCTCAGTCTTATATGATTGATCATGGAGGGGTACAGCATTATCCCCATTTTACAGGGCAAGACACTGAGGCTCCTCGATGTGTAAGATTCTTGACATCACACGGTTCCTGACAGATCTGAGTCTACATCCGTCTGACATCAGACGTTTACGTGAATTTACCACTCTTACTATGACATTCTGGTCTGAGTCAGTTTTTACTCTCTTCTTGCTTGTTTGTTTGAACTCTTGGCCATTACATACTGATGTCTTCCATTCATTCCTCCAGAACACAACTCCCCCCCTTCAGCACTCCGCCCTGCAACTCGGCAGATGGCCCTATCTTGGCTGCTTCCGTGGTGCCCTTGTTCTTTGGCTCACAGCTGGGTTTGGCCAAGGTGAGACCCAGACAAGGCACTGGATGGCAGGTGGGTGGGAAATGAGATTGGGGCATTGATTTCCCCACTTTTCTCTCTGTTGGGCTCTCTCCGGAAGGTCGCCGCTCCTGCCACGTGGCCCTTGCCATGCAGCTCCCCTCTGTGGGTTTGACTAACTGCCCCCTCCACTGCCCCTTCGGGTTTAGGGGGTGGTGACAGCTGCTGCACGGTCCCTTGTGCTTTCTTCCACACTGCCCACACTTCTGTCAATTAGCCCCAGTAAGGGGGTTAGGACAAGTGGATTGCGCAATCTGAGCGTGCCATTTGCTACCTTCTGGCACCTTTACTGATACAGTGAGGCGTCCCGTCATTGATGTCAGAGTTAATGTTTTGGTGTTCCGTCCATTAGTGACTCTTTTTATCAGGAGAGAGATGATTTGGGTCTCCTCTTTTTTTTTACTAAGGATTTCCTATTTTAACTTCCAGAGGACCATTTTTTTCCTCCCTTACCTTCCTTTTTTTTTTTTATTTATTTTTATTTTATTCTTATGTTAATCCCCATACATTACATCATTAGTTTTAGATGAAGTGTTCCATGATTCATTGTTTGTGCACAACACCCAGTGCTCCATGCAGAATGTGCCCTCCTCAATACCCACCACCCTTTACCTTCCTTTTGCCTTACTACTTGCCCTCTGGATTTCCTCCTTTCCCCTCAAATTGAGTCTGCATGACCAGGGCAAGCCAAGTTTCCAAGATTATTTTCCAAGATTGAGTTTCTTTGGTCTCCAAAGTCTCTGTTCTTCTATTAGCATTTCTTTGCAAAACAATCTGTTGGATTGTCTTGAGAAAACGATGTGTATTTACTAGCCTTCTAGAGAAAGTTGATATTTCTCCAGAAAGGCAGGGAAATAATGGAAGTCTGTTCAGTAAGTAACAGTAAGGAGAATAAAGGGGGGGAAAGGCAGGAGATTCAGAATCAAGGTCAGTTTCCTCTGTTGTTGAATTGCAGCAAGCATTTAGTGGTAATAAAATCTTTTCCTGTATAATACATTTTATATTAAAACTGCAGCCATTTAAATGAAGGATTTTATGTCTGCACAGTCTTTATTGAGCATGAAGGCTTACAAAAATGCTTTTTTTTTTTTTTTTCCTTAAAAAATTTTTGAGCTTTGAAAAGCTACTCTGCCCCCCGGGCTCATAGGAGTGAAGATGCAGAGGTGGGGCGTAGCCAGTGGCTCACGCAGTTCCTTGCTTGTGCTATTTAACCTCGGACCCCTGTTATTCTGGGCCTCCGTGTCTCTTGAATAAACAGTAAATCTTTCCTGATGGCGCGGCAGCTTTATGATGTGGATTCATGCGTATTTTCAGAGGAGCACGAGAGACCTTTTAATGCGTTTTGCCTGCTTTTACTGGTGATTTAGCCAGGGCCTGTGCCTGTTCAGCCCATCTCTGGTAAAGGGCAGACCCTGACACTGACGTGGTCAGCACTCAGATGATCAGTCTTCTGGTTCCAGGACAAGAAAGATTAACTCCGGTGTTATTTCATAGGTTGGCTTGAAATGGATTAATTCTTCTGTTGAAGGTTTATTGACTCGTGTTTTTCCAAGGTCTTTGTCCTTCATTTTTAAATTTTTAAAATTATTTTTTAAAGATTTTATTTATTTGAGAGAGAGAGAGTGTGACAGAGAGAGCAAGCACAAGCGGGGTGAGGGGCAGAGGGAGAAGCAGACTCCCGGCTGAGCAGGGAGCCCGTCGAAGGACTCGATCCCAGGACCCCGAGATCATGACCTGAGCCAAAGGCAGTCGCTCAGCTGACTGAGCCATTCAGGTGCCCTGGTCTTTGTCCTTTAATATTGAAAAAATTGTGATCTACCCCTGATCCTAAAACAGCAAGATGAGATAGCGAGAACTTGATAGGTCCTCCTTCTACCACAGGATCATGCAGGGTGCAAGTTTGCTAGCCTGGTTTTCTGGCTCTTCATTTGGGGCAGATTGGAAGTGGTCTCAGAAGGTTCAAGGACATGCTGAGGTTAGATATACCAGAAGGAAAAAGTCAACTCACGGAGCAACTCCATTTTTTCCGTAGTCATTGCTGATATTCATGGGAAGAACTGTTGGATCGGACTCTTCTTGTCATGAGCATGGTGTAGAGGAAACAAAAACGCTAGGCGTGTAGCTTCTGAGTACTTGAAATATGCATTTGTGTAGGAAATTATCTGCCAAGGGAAGTAGACTATTGTTGGTGCGGATCTGACCTATAGCAGGAGATGCCTCATAATCTATAAATATCTGCTCTTTGAGTTAGAATGAATTACCTGAAGACGGCAGGCTCCACTTTACATCTCAGATCCCCAGAACTGCATTTCCCATTGGACAGTTAACAGCACCTTTTAAAATCTGAATTTCCCCAGTACACTGACCTCACCTGACTTCTTAGCCACAGCCTTAACTAGGCTTTAAAAATAGCCTGGAAGCCAGCATAGTGGAGAGACCATTTACTTCAACAACTATTTTGTGTTGCCTATAATGTCATGTAGATCTAAGTCTTTTCGGTATCTTTCCACTACAATGGCAGCATATGGTCCTATTGTTACAATCAGATATTCTTGTGGGAAATTAGAGGCCATGGGTGAATGGAGAGGATATTATTGTTGAGGCTAAAGCTGTTGTTTTAAGCCCTGAACTTAAGTTTCCTGCAGTTTTATTTTTGGAAAGCTCAAACCTTTCAGGAAGTTTCGGCCAATATGCTTTGATTTTTATTTTTGATAGTGTGGACTAATGTTTACTCTGGGCTCCTGCAAATTGGTTAGGAGGGCTTTGCGTGGAGGAGAAAATG